ATAATCGTGGGTGGTGGAACCGCGGGATCACCCCTTGCCGCGACGCTTTCGAGCAAATACAAAGTTCTTGTGCTCGAGAGGGGGGGATCACCGTATGGCAATCCAAACATCACCAGGATCGAAAACTTTGGAGCAATTCTATTCGACGACAGCCCCCAATCGCCACTCCAGGTCTTCTTCTCCACAGAGGGCGTACGAAACGGGAGAGCTCGAGTTCTTGGAGGAGGATCCAGTGTAAATGCTGGGGTTTATTCTCACGCCGAGAAATCTTTCATCACTACTCTGGGTCTCAATCTTTGCCTGGTGAATCAGTCTTACCGCTGGGTTGAGAGTGTCGTGTCTTCCATTCCAGATCAGCTTGGGCCATACCAGACAGCGTTCCGGCAATCACTGCTCCAAGCTGGAATCACACCCGACAACAACGCGACGTATGATCACTTGGTTGGAACCAAAACTTCTGGTACCATATTCGATCATTCGGGAACTCGAAGGCCAGCTTCAGACCTCTTTGTCTATGCGAATCCAAGAAACATCAAAATTCTCCTCCATGCCACAGTTCTACGAATTCTCTTCTTGCAAGGTTTGTTTTTGTTTTCGAGAGAAACATTGCTCATATCCCTTCTCTTGAAGGTGTATCGCCAAAAGCGTATGGAGTGGAGTTTAAAGACAGGCTTGGGCGTATCCGGAAAGCATTTCTTTCCCCCAAGCGATCCAGCGAGGTAATTCTTTGCGCAGGTGCGATTGCAAGTCCACAGCTCCTAATGCTAAGTGGAATCGGACCTGGAAGCCATCTTCAATCCAAAGGCATCAAAGTGATCAAGGATTTCCCAGAGGTCGGGAAACATATGGCAGACAACCCCACAGTCTACTTGTTCGTCCCATCGCCATCTTACGTCGAGGTCTCCACGAGTCTAAGCGTCGGGATCACGTCCTTTGGGAGCTATATCGAGGGTGATAGCGGAGGAACGCTAGCGCCCAACGCGAACTTCCTTGTTGAGAAGGTCAATGGCCCAGCTTCCATGGGCGAGCTCTACCTGGCCACCATAAATGTGGATGACAATCCAGTTGTAAGTTTCAACTATTTCCAAGAGCCAAGAGATTTGCAAGTTTGCGTTGCAGGCGTGGATGCAGTGGAGAAAGCATTGCTCTCAAACGCTTACAAACCTTTTCGTTATGATAATCAAACTCTCCCCTCCGGAGGAACAGTGATTTCTCCCAGCAGGGGCAATTCAAGGATCGGCGTCATCAACAGCACCCTTGCAGATTACTGCAAAAGAAACGTCGCAACTTTGTATCACTATCACGGTGGCTGCTTGGTAAACAAGGTGGTAGATTCCAACTTCAAGGTGATTGGGGTACACAACTTACGTGTGGTGGATGCTAGCGTTTTATACATCTCGCCTGGAACCAATCCACAAGCGACTCTGATGATGCTTGGAAGGTATATTTAGTTTTATCTTAAGTTTGATTAATTTAGTTTTCTGAACTGATAGGTACGTTGGGAAAAGTATCGTCGACGAGATCCCTCCATGCTAAGAATAATTTTATCTAAACCATACATACATAAATTGCAAAAGTGTAGAAGAATCAAATAGTATTATCTCTAGTGAAAATGCACTAGCAAGTACGTCCCTCAGCCATGAGCTGTTGGAGACTGCGTTCTGGCTGGGCAACAAGAAACTTCTGCGGTTTGTGGAATTGGAAATGAAAAGCGACGAACCATTGCAGAGATGGATCAGGAGATATGGCCTTGCGTGGCCGCTGGAACCGCCAAGACATGGACCTTGCTTTGGTAATGTAATAAAGGATATCAACGGTGATATTTTTAAAATTTATGATATGATTTTATAGTTCTTGATTCTTTGTCATTGTTGTGCATACATACTAAAAAAGTAGAAGATTTAAGAAATATGAGTTTACTTGGAGCTAACAGATTGCCCATGTCAGATTTTTTTTATGAACAAAGAACTTATTTACTGCTTTACTTTTATACTCATGGAAAACTCCTTATAACCATATAAGCCAAGGGATCAACAAATTTTTTTATTTTTAGCAAGTATATGCCACTGTTAATACTGGACAAAACCTCTAATTCTTATATAGCAAATTTAGCTATCAAAGTCTAGATTTGATCATGGGGAATGACAGTTTAGGCTAACATTGTTTTCAGAGGACAACCAATTACAATTTTTAGTTGCTACCCATGGCAGTACATTTTAAGAATATAACATTAACATAAGTGCATATACCATCTAACTTAATTGTATACCCCTACAACTCAAATAAACATAAAATAATAATTTATATAAAAAATTTACAAAATTCAAGATTATAACATGTTAAAACTTAGACTTATAGTTTGTAAGAAAAAAAAATCTCTTTCTAATGTATTTAAGACAAAAAATCCCAAGAATCCACATTTTAAACAGATAAAGAAAGTATATTATTATATGAAGCTATTTTTATTTAATATTAAGTTAAAAATATAATTATAAATATAATCATAATTGCTATAATATATTGAGAATTAATATACTATACATAAAAATTTAAATTATATTAAATAAAATTAAAGCCTCGCACAAACTATCACCAGGATTCTCTCAATCAATTTGGTTTAAAATAAAAAGGGACTATTTTTGTCTTCTTCAAGGATCCCGAAGTTATTACAGCATAAATCAAAAGCAAATGTAAATATGAGCAACATACATGACTACTTTGCTGTCCAAATACTGTACAAGGATACCTTTCGTCATTAGAATGGCCAAGCATAAGCTGCCCGTGTTCGCCCCATAGCCAAGTATAACTGCTTCTCTACAAGCAATTCCATCGCTCGACTCCTACAGTGTTTCGATTTGTGGCAGCAAATGGAGACCCGCAGCTTTGAGTGGTGAGTTTTAAAGATTCTTTTTCTCCATTGTATTCAGGATTGAGTAGTTAACAGTTTTCTTTAAACAACTTAGCATATACCTTATTCTCTCCAACGTACAAATAAAGGCAGCTGATTACCAGTGCTACTGCTGGAAGAATTGGGAGAGAAATCTGGTGAGAGTTTGTATCAATGAGGAAGCATTTAGCTCCAACTTCTTGAACTCTATACCCATGCTCCATAATAAGTGTGACAAAGCTGGGGCTGAAGGAATCAATAGGTGTCCTTGGCATTTTGTGGAAGGTCTTGTTACCACCACTCTAAATTGGAGATTTCTCCTAATGTGTGATTTTATTCAAGTTCACAAAGAGGTCAGGAAATTTTGTTTGACTTTGGTGATTGATTTCTCTTGTATGGAGATGGTATTCCAAAGTAAAAATTCACAAAATTTGGGAAGCATGGAACCACACCTCATCTGTCATGGAGCCTTCAACCTGTGAACTCAATTTTCTGTCCCTTTCCAATGCTATCAAAGTTGCTTGCCACACCCTGGTTCTCGCGGATAAATTTTCTTTCTTCTCGCTTGTGTGGTTTGCATCCAAATCGTGAGTATGTATCTATTTGTTTATTCCGTATCTTCGAACAATGAGAGATACAGGCAAAGGTGATGGCTGAGTTGTCAAGCTTTTGGACTAGCCAAGCGCAGCCAGCTCGGCAGCCCTTCATCCGAAGAGCTCGACAAAGTGGCTTTTCCACAAGCAATTCCATCGCTCAGCTCCTATGGTCAGCAAATGGAGACCACAGCTAACCAGTGGTGAGTCTTCAAAGAAATTTCCTTTTCTCCAGGAAATCAATTCCATCTTCTGGCAGGCACTGGCCAGCTCGGGAAAAGCATCAAACGGACGCTTACATACTGTTTCTCGCAAGTGAAGAGCTTAACTTCCGCGAAGTTTCTCTCGGCTGGAACCATGGTCTTATCTCAAGCGGTTTTTGAAATCAGTGTCCTGCAGAGAATGGGGAATGGCATGGTCAGCTTGTATCCTCTTAATGTTTTATTTCTTTCTATGTTTCAAAACAGGAATATAATCTGTGACAAATGTTGCGAGCGGTCGAACATGACATTTTACAGAGTACACGTGTTGGAAAACCACAGCACTGAGAGCCTGGTCCTTTTTATTCATGCTAAAGCTCCGGTGTTTTCAGCTGCTGGGGACGAAAGGCTGCCGAGCTGACCGCGCTTCGCTAGTCGAAAAGCTTTGACAACTCGGCCATCTCCTTTTCCTGTATCCCTCATTGCTAGAAGAGAAAAGAGAAAGAAATAGATAGATTCACTCACGACTTGGATGCGAAGCACGCAAGGAAGCAAGAAGGAACATTTTACCGGAGAGAACCAGTGTGTGGATTCCACATTGGAAAGAGCCAGAACTTTACAGGGAGTTCTTCGACTTACAAAGTCTCAATCTCCACAGGTGAAAAGCTCCCCGGATTCTTGGAGGGAAAAGAAAAGAAGAAGAAAGTCACAAAAAAGAAGAGAATTGATCTATCTTACCAGTGATAAATGCGGTGTGGTTCCCCAGCAGATACTTCGCAAAACTTTGTGACCTCTAAAAAATTCTATTACTCTTGGAACAACAGCAGCAGCAGCAGCATCCTCAGAATTAGGTTATTTAGTCTGAATAAAAAAATTTGAATGAATTTATCTTATACAATCAGATAAATGCTTCAATATTCTGGATATATTAATTATTTGAACGTTTGCATAAACGAAGATCACTCTCACTCGCTACGTTTTGAAAGCGCACATCTCAAACTCCAAAATCAAAATGGAACTATCGTGGCCCCAAGGTGGAAATCTGCGGGGATTCATTGGAAGCTCCCGAGGAGATCCTGGTGGAGTCATTGGATCGCATGGCTGTGTAGGAGACTGAAGATGATCGGCTCAAGTTCTCTGGAACGTGAGCGTTTGAGTAACCTGCCAGCATCGCGACGACGTGAGGCATTGACGGCCGCGCCTGAGGCAAGCCTTGAGTACACATGAGCGCCAGTGTCACCAGCTGCAGCGCCTGGCTGTTGGAAATTTCGTTCTCCAGTTTCGGGTCCACAAAGTCGCGAAATACCCCTCCTGTGTCAGCGTGAATCTGCCATGCCTGGAAAACAATTCCGCGAGCCTTACAAATCTAAATACAAACACTAATTTTTTCAAGTACCTCGTCCACCAGTGATCTGTCTCGGTTTCTTTTGCCACTCACGGTTTTCAGAATGACGATTCCATAGCTGTAAACATCGATCTTGTCGCTCAGCTGACCATTGAGTGCGTACTCTGGCGCCATGTAGCCACTGCAAGATCATCGAAAGCATGTTGTAAAACATCAAGTACTATGGAACTTACTATGTTCCTGCAGCTTTGGTGGTTAGAACCTCCAGCTGATGGGACGATTCGAACAGCCTTGCCAATCCAAAGTCGGCTATCTTGGCCTCGTAGAACTCATCCAGGAGAATGTTGCTCGGTTTGATGTCCCTGTGTACTATTCGTATTTGTGAGTCTTCATGGAGATATGCTAAACCACGAGCAGTTCCCAAGAGAATGTTATGGCGAGTTTCCCAGGACAGGGGCTTCTCTACAGGGCCTGAGACACGGCCAGCCAGCTTCAATACAATCTGTAGAAGTATAAAGAGATCAAACGTACAAACGTACAAACGATCAAACGTACCGAACAAAGCGTTTTCCAAACTGTTGTTCTTGAGGAGCTCATAGACAAGAAGCCTTTCTGTGCCTTCCATAGAACATCCCAGCAGCTTTACCAAGTTCCGATGCTGCACGCTGCTGATTGCCTTGACTTCGTTCAGAAACTGAAGCTAACCGTGCTTGGAGGTGACGGTGAGCTTTTTGATCGCCACTTCGGATCCATCTGGAAGATATCCCTGTTCAGGAAGAGATCCATGAGTTTTCACTGCTGCAAAAACAATAAAACTTAACCTTGTAAACAGCACCAAAGCCACCTTCACCGAGCTTGTGCTTTCGTCGAAGTTTGCAGTGGACGATTTCAGCATCCGATATGGGAACGTAACTGGCCCCCGATGCAAGGTACATTGTAAGTCATTGGCTATCGCAGAAATGAAAATTCGTAAGTGCTTCCAAGCAAGCTGGCTTCAAATGAATTTACCAATTTTCGCCACCACCAATTCATACCAAGAACTATACCAACACCCAGCAGCACTGCGGCGATTACTCCCACGATTATGCCTACATTTCTTGCTTTGTTGCTACCTTCAGAAAGACAACAAGGTTTAAAAATATAACAAACAATAAGAATGAAAAACAATCACCTCCGCCGGAAGTGGAAACCGCGGTACTGCTGCTTGCGTTGACGGGAACTCCACCAAAAAACTTGAAACTCTCGTACTGCATATTGCATTCAGCCAGGTAGCAACTTCCTCCATCTCTGCCATTCCAAGTACTGGACAATGAGCTTCTGGCTTTCTCCAAGCAGGTCGTGCAGTCAGAAGTGCTCAGATCACGAACACATTGTCCCAGAACGTACGCGCTGTTGTCGGGAGAAGTTCCAGCAACAGCTATCATGAAGCCACCAGCACTACCTGGAATACGGTCTCTCAGAAACGCAAAACCGGTGTCTGTGTTCGAACGGTACTGGCTGGAGTTACTGATGCCGGACGAGCAGTTCACCAGAGCCGAGTCGATTCCAGAGTAATTCGAAAAGAAGTAGTGATCTTCGTAGCGTAGAAAACACGTCTCTTCCTGCACCCGTCCCCCCTTTGTAGAATTTCTGACGCAGGATCCATTGAGAGAGTTGATGGCAGTCGAAGCGCAGGCATTGCAGTCGCTGGAAGAAATGTCTCCACGGCATTGTAGGAGGCCAAACACTGTGTCAACTGTAGAGCCATTCTTGTTGCTGTTTATGATCACCGTCTTGTAATCCGTGGTGTTTGCCAGAGAACCAAAAGCCTGGATGATATTCCTGCGATACTGCTGGCTAGTAAACGTGTAGAGATCTGAGCATCGTGTAGCAGTCGCAGAAGTCCCCGCTAGGCGGTATCCTTTCCTTCCGTTTTTTTTTTTTTTTAAAACTTAACAAGAAAAACAGTACTTCTTGCCCGAAACCGGTTAGAGCTTTGGAGCTGTTTTGATGGGGAAACGAACCACTTCGATTTCAAAGCAAAAGCTATTTTCTGGAGCGAGTTCGATTTTCTGACGCTATCTGAGGACCACATGGTTCATGATTCTTGCCACTACAATCCAGATTTCATAATGGAGCCAACTATGTTCTGTGGACTTCTTCAGCATTGGTTCAAGTAAGTCTTTTGACACGGCAATGAAATGAGAAGCGGAGCTCGAGCATGAAGCTGTGCATCCTCCTCTTTATTCCAACGTACAGAATTGCTAGCGGCCAGCTGCTGACATCAAAGAATTGGCCTTGTAACTAATAGCAACGCGTCTGTGAGGAACATCGTTGTGATCCTGCATAGAGTGCATAATTTGAAGCAAAAGATAAAAGCAATTTTGCCTAATGGCTTGTGATGGTTTACGTAACCTATCTGCAGCTTTACAAAGGTAGAAAATACAGTCGGAAAAAAAAAAAATGCAGACGTTGAGCCAGTACCACAAGCTGACAGGAAAACGTTCTTTCTCTACAAATTGATGAAGCTTCGATTTGTTATCCACAAGCCTATCAGAGCACCAATTGTTGCAAGGGAAGATAAAGTTGGATAACTGAAAAAAAAAGGGACGAAGTTAGTGAAAGCGAAGAATGTAAATTAGCACACTGATCTTCGGTGGATGCTCTTGTTTACCCAGGGAGGATCAATCACGATAGGATTGTAACCCGTTAAATACGAAGCTCAAACTTTTGCGAAAAAATACATCTTAACAGACTAGCCGATGAATTTTAGAGAAATGTGCTCACCATGAGAAACTGACTTTTTCGGGAGCCAGCGCTTGAAGCGACTTCCTCCGCGGAGGAGCTAGATTTTTAAAGAGCGGGACACATTTTCCTGGACTCAAAAGTTTGGAAAGTTGTTAGAAGGAAGCAATAAAAACATTAGTCCGAATCTGTTCCCACCTTTTGAGGAAAGCGTGATATCGTAGAGTGGAGCTTGAAATGTCCGAGACAAAGCTATAATCACTGTTGTCCCCCAGTTTTACATTGCTTGTTTTGAGTTTTACTATCTCCTTGAGCTTCTCTTGCGCGGGTTCATTGGACATAAATGCCTTGTGAGACTCTAGCAGAATCTCTCCTGCCTCCTGATGAGAAACACGAACAGAAAAGTGATGAGAAAAGTCGATGTAAACGAAAAATGCTCCAAGAACAAACACAAATGAGAAAGACAAAACTAGTACCTGTTGGCGTTGCTGAGCTAGTAGCTCCTTCATTGAAAACATACGTCAATGCACTGCTCACGCTCATAAACCCTACATATACTCCATATCCACGGTGAAAACATCGTCCCTTTTGACGATAATTTATATAAATCTAACATGAGGAGCGTTTTGCAAGGAACTAGGTTGAAATGAACTAGGTATAAAGCATTAAGTGAAGGAATTAAAATATTAAAATTCTTTTTTATATATTAATATCACATATGGGATTGAAATTTTAAACCTTTATTTATTACCCAGATTAAGTCTTGGATTAAGTTCTCCAGCCCTACTTCCCTCACTTTGCGATACAGGATCAATATTAGTTACTATAACATTGTAGTAGCCAATACTGATTCTGTTTTGCAAATTAAGGCAAGACACGTAGTTGGTAATGTGGCAGGGGAACCAGGTTGTTAGAAGGGGGATCAGCTGGCGCAAAAAACTCAAACTTGCTAAATTTTTTAAAAAGGGTGCACTTTCTTTCCTTTTATACTTCAATAAACCTTTTTTTAATTTGTTTCTTATAAATTATTGTAAATCCAAAAACTAGTGATATTAATGTGTTACATAAAGGATTGGTGTTTGAGATTATTCGCCCCAACCAGGATAGGCCAGAGATTTATAGTGCTTCCTTGAGGGAAAAAAAAAAAATCTCACCAGGAGCTTTTTCTTTGTTATCCAGCTCCAGGCAAACTACAAAACAGCACAATGGTTGGCATGATGCATTGCATCAGTTTTAGCACCAAATTTACCCTTACTAACCACCTGGGCAAGTACTAATTTTAAAATAACACAACTTTTGGCGTTTCAGATCTTTTAAATCGTCTTCCCGAGAAGATCTGCTCAAGACGCTGCAGCTTTGGCGGTGAGAAATGCGACAGGACACATCTGGTGCCCGGCCAAAGCGACCGCTCGATTTGCCTCCATTCTCCGGCGCTGCTTCTCCATGCTCTACCAGGGCTTGAGGTGACCGTTCAAAACTTTATTCCAGTTTGTTAATTTGTGCTCCTTAAAATCGTGAAGATTTCGTGTGCAAGAGCTCCCGTCTACCCAAAGAAGAAGAAGCTATCTGGAGAGTGGCAAAGGCCAACACCAGAAACAACACCAAAGCAGCCTTCATTATTGCAGTAGAGGTTAATGGAACTTGATCAATTCTTGCTGAATAATTGCTAAACCTTTCAGGCCTTATATATTATGTTATACTCCAGCATGCATTGCCAAGTGGTTGAATGCTTCATGCATTCAACCATTGCTCGATAAAAACCAAAATCTAAGATTATGAACATATATTGTCAGGATGGCCGAGCGGTCTAAGGCGGCAGACTCAAGTTCTGCTCCTCTCACGAGGGCGTGGGTTCAAATCCCACTTCTGACATGTTTAAGTAGTTTTGTATTTATGGAAAGGCTATCTAAGAGAAGGCAGTTCTTGTGTAAGTTCGTCAGAAGAAAATATAAAGGCCAGTATCTATAAAAAGCTCAGCAGCCGTGAAGAAGATTGGGAGTTCTTCCAAATGATCAGGGCCAAAAACATGCTCTTGGGTGGTGATGCTGTTGACTTATGCTCAAATGTTAAAATTGAAGTAGACCTTTGACAACTTGTAAGCCTGATCGCACAGCTTATTCTGGGCATCTGGCTCAGCGTATGTCAAACGCTGTAAGGGAAGAGCTAGAAATTGACTGTGCTCTTCCAACATTCGGTGGTCTATAGTATAGTGCATTCTGTAGGTTGGAGTCCTCGTATGATCCAAATTGAAGAAGTCCGGCGGTGACAAAGCCTTCCCTCTCTATAGAGATTGAAAATAGATGCATTTTCAGCTGGAGAGTTACCAAAAACTCTAAAGCAGTTGATGAGAGAGAGGTGCGACATGGTCATATACTGTAAACATCTTCTCCTGATGAAAAGTATACATTGTGTCGTGAAACTTTCTGGAGCGGTTTCCGTCTGGCAGCTTCTCCTTGGCTTCTTTCAGGGCTTCTTTCAAGCAGCCAGATCGTCCCAGAAGACAGGTTCTTCAGCTATTGGAATCGCAATCCCTTCTCGTATCCCAAACTGTAATGAATGTTTTGGCGTTTGGCTTCACTAATATTCTTATATAGCTAATGCTGTAGAGCAGAGCTCGTTCTTCTACCTATTGTCAAACACCTTCCGGGGGGCCGGACCACACGAGTGCGTACATCTTGGCAACGCAGCTAATGGCATCAGCCACGCTCTTCGTGGACTCCAGGGCTTTCAGACTGGAATGGCCGCTGTACGCTGCTATATCATATTGCTTCAAAACTGGACCACTGTGAGCCTCGAACATCATCCAAGCTCGCACACCAGCGAAGAGTTGACGAGGTCGTTTGCTCTGGGAGTCATAAGACCTGTGCAGTCCTCCAGGTGCTCGGCGATCCGCATCTGGACTTGTCATGAAAGTCAGTAAAAAGGTCACAACAATCTTTTTGGTAGCAACAACATCACGTTTTTATTATGTGTGGATAGATCACTCTAGATATATGGTTTTTTAAGCCAGAAATCCATGTAGTTTTTCTTCCATTAAAGATTTGCACATGGGCTCGATCGTTGCCTACATTCTTCTAGCGCAGTTTTGTTTGATCAATCTCTACGGAATATATAATCGTGGGTGGTGGAACCGTGGGATTGCTCCTTGCCGCAACTCTCTCAAGAAAATACAAAGTTCTCATGCTCGAGAGGCGGGATCACAGTACGGCAATGGGCAATGGACGGCAATCCAAACATCACCAGGATCAAAAACTTTGGAGACAGACCAATCTAGGTTTTCTATTGAGGGAATCAAGATAACCATTATGACTTTTGGCTAACTTAGCTTTGTCTCTTCCACTTTTTTATGTGTGAATAAGAATAGTGCCAAGCATACAGCCAGCAGCAGCTAGCATTCCAAAATCCTTGTTTTGTTTCTCTTGTCTTTACATGGTAGATTTAGGATGCTATGTGCTTGATCCTTGGCAAGAGAGCGAGATTGCTGCACAAATTGTTCTTCTTCTTTTCTTAAACTTCTTGTTGCTTTGCCTTGTCATTACACAGGCAAAATCACTCACTGATTCTATCTCGTCCTGCTTACGGCTATTGAGCTGGAGCTTGAGATTCAACATTTGCAAGAAGCCAGGACACTGGGCAAGAGATTGTACAGATGAGGAGGCCAGGAGAGCAAAGGAGGCAAGAAAAGCCTACGGAGAGTGGCTGCCAACTTTGTATTTTCCCAAGCACGTTAAGGCACGAATTCGAACACAGCACTCCTTTGTACACTGAAATTTCTTGTGCGCCTCCCATTCCTCACAACAACATCCACATCGACATCAATATCAACATTTGCAGGAAGAAGTTTATGGATTCAATGAAATTTCCACCCTCAATGTTGGATCCTCTTCTGCATTTGTAGATTAATAAAACTATCTTCCCGGAACACCACTTAATATTTATTTTGGAGAAAACACTGCACAGTGAACAAAACACACTCCAGAATGCATATTTAGCTGCTCCCCCGAGCGCCGGGAAACCGGCACACGCACCCGCCCCGATCGACACCCCTCCTCGCCGGGTGGCCCAGCCAACACTTAAAAGCCATATATATATATATACATATATACATACATACATATACATACATATATATACATACACATATATATACATATATATACATATACAACTAAAGGAATGGGACCTACATGCAATGCATTTTAGCTCTTGGTATTACAATCTCTGGTCTCTAGAGTTAAAAACGTGATTGTCATTCATTTACATTCATCCATGTTAACAGTCCTTGCAAATTTGACAAAGTGTGGTTTACAACCTGCCGATCATTATGAAAAGGTAGTATGGGTTTCTGCAACCATGCTATCAATGACATACCTCCAAAATATATTTGACCTCCTATAAATAATACATGTGAAATGTGGGATTTGATCAAGAGAGGAGCAGAATATTGGCATTATATCTTTATAGCATAAGTTTTGAAATTTTATAAAGCAATGGTTGATTGCATGAAATGCATGCATACTTGTAATTATTTAAGGCCTCCATGTTCCAACCATTGGCACTCAGCAAGCATTGATTAAACTCATCAATAACAATGAAGGCTTCTTTGGAGTTGTTTCTGGTTTTTGCTCTTGCCACTCTCCAGATAGCACTGTCTTCTTCTTCTTTTTGTAGAAGGGAGCTTTTGTCTTTGGATGATGGTGTTGGTGAGAAGGATTCATCATTGGTAGAACCAGCGTTGCATCCTGTGATCATGAAGATGGAGGTTCTTCAGTCCATGGCTCTCACAAGCACAGGAGGATCAAGAACAACAACATCAATATCAACATTTGCAAGAAGAAGTCTATGGAAGATGAGAAGAAAGGATTCCACTTTTAGTGTAGATCAGATGGATCCTCTCCCGTCATTTTTAGATCAATAAACAAGTACATTTTCAAAAGAAAGTTGCTCTTGCCTCTGGCTAACAAGGATCAACCAAGCCTTTTGCCATGCAGTCTAAGGCCACATAGTGACAGCATTAAAGTAGCATTCATGAGCCAGACACACAAGCACCCAAGGCCAAATCCAAGACCTTGAAACCCTATAGACATCCGCCGATTTTGCACCACACTTCCAGCACAGGCAAAATCCTTAACCATGGCCGAAAGCAGCCATAGCCACATGGAACCACACAATCCACGACACACAGCAAAACAGCCCAAATCGAGGGGGAAAGCTAAATACACAAAGAATGCATGACATTTGAGAAGCTGTTTCCGCACAGTGGCGCCCTAGAATCGTCAGGGACCGCACGATCTTCATCCGACGGTTGTTTAGACCACTAACTCAATTATAAACACAAGAGACAAAAAGTGAAAACTCAGCCACAATTTTATTTGTTTAAGCGGCTTCTATTTTACCTATGGATGTCGTGAATAAAAGGTCTTCCTGCCACCAAAATAGAGAATGTGGAAGCCACCAATGCCATCCTGTTCTACCACTGTTAGAGTTAGCCACGTGGCTTGAGTCACATTCCTTCAATTTAAGGTTAGTTTTTTTTGAGAGCCACTTATTGTTGGAGTTTTCTCTTTCTTCAGTGTTAGGTGGAGAGGCTAGCTTCTCTTCACATGGTATCAGAGGCATAGGTTAGAATTTTTGGCATGAGTAGTGCTTTAGACACTAGGTGTCATCTTTGTCTCTGGAGAAATGAAGCACTGAATTTCCTTGCCTGCAGAATTCTGGTTTATAAGGTGGGTATCTGGAATTGCAAAATGCCCTAAATTGGTAGATGGCCACAAACTAAGTGTAGGTTCTATTGTGGGTTGATAAACGAATTGGTATGGGGAGTTACAAAGGGAATGGTGTCTTCATCATTAATCACTCTTGTTATTCTCTCTATATTGGTTGATAAAGGTTTGAATTTATTTTCTATTGCCTAAAGTGGTTTTTGGGTTGAGAATTTTTTTTAATTGTTTCATACTTCTTTATTTTTCTTTCATTCCCTTTATTTTATTTTCATTTCCTTTTACATTTGCTTCTATCATTTTTGTCTCCCCATCAATGTATTTTTATTTTGCTCCTTTATTCTTCTATTCCTTTTTCAAATTCCTTTAACAGCTTTTATTTGACTGGCTCAAAGAGTATTCTAATCTGAATTATTATCCTCAAGCAAAGGCCAAGATTGGCACTGCTTCAGAAGCCACTGCTTCGAAAGTGCAGGCTTGTGGACACAGATTTGTTGTAAAATGAGAGGATGAAGACAGAGGATAGAGTGCTGCAAAGATACTAATTTTAGAGATGCTAGCCAGGATCAACATGTACAAGCCAAAAGGTGAAGTTTTCCAATAACAATGGTGATGAAATCGAGGAAGAGAAGGTTTTGAAGGAGAGGAAGAAACCAGTGTACCTGAAAGATGTTCTGGCTAAGCAACTTCTGGAAAATCCTGGGGACAAGGATGGAAATCCTCCACAGCACTCACTTCGTTTATCTGTCAGCCTCACCATCACTGCCATCGTCGAGAAGCACAAGCTTTGCCACCAGATGCCCTAGAATTCCCCATTAAATGTAAACATCTAAGGCTGAAGATTATTCAAGGACGCTTATCGTGGTGATGGCAATATGGCTGGGCACCACGAAGACGCCGACACGGCTTTCCACTCTCCGTGCTCAAGGAACCACACCGACCAAGCTTTTTCAACTCCTCCGCCTCAGCTTTAGCTTCTTCAGGGTTGCTTGCCAACTTGACGTGCTTGCTACTCTCGAGATGCAGCTTGCCGCATGCAACGTCGATGACTTTCAGCATTTCACTCAAACGGCCAAAACAAATGAACACCTCCTTGTAACCCACGCCATTGCGTATCCATATCTTATCAGCACTGTCCACTGCCAAGATCCAGACAAGAACCTTCTCTCGCGCGTCACCTTTTGTCATCTCCAAAAATCGCGAGAGCGTATTTCCATGCTTCAATACCACATCCACCCCAGTCGCTATTTGCACCCACAAAACGTGCTTCTGGTTTGATCCAAGGCAATCAACTCCCGTGTGGTTGAACTTCACAGGTGGGAAGAAACGAGAAACATTGTCCGCGATCAGAAATTGGGGAGAGAAATCACCTTCGAATCTGACAACCACTTCAGGTCTGAAGTTAAGCTGCAGACCTTCCGTGTCAATAACGATACCATAGTGTTTGATGAAAATGAGAGTTGCCATTTCTGCGTTCCACCCAACCCGAGCACTGTTGTCGTCGTGCCGGATCAGCCTTGTCCATTGGCCAATGCCCATCCTAGCCTCCAAGTCGGACGCGTACCGCAGAGTCTCGGTGATGAGCGCCATAGTGCGCGCACGCAGAGAATCTGATAGGCATTTTCCTGTTTCTGTTTCTGCATCCACGTAGAAGCATCGAGTGTCTAGCGCGTCTGGCAACACCGTTCTAATCGTGTCCACTCCGCCGACCACAGCTATGAAGCAATTCCAGCGAGATGGGTTCTTGACCGCCTCTTGGATATACTCTTCCACGCCAGTTTCGTACATCTGGTACGTCATCCGTAGCATCGCGGTCCCGTAATGAGCGACAAGCCTGGGAACCCAGCCAGTCTCACTTTTGAATTCCGAGCAGAGCTCCATGTCGGACAAATTCAGCTCCTCTTCAGATCCATCAACCTGCTTCATCGCGTCGGTAAGCCACACATTCACACATTTCATTTACCTTAATGCGTTTCGCATTCAACTTCCGGTGGCCTTGCCTTGTGGGAAGCCTGCAATACGCCACAATCGGATCCTCCTACTCCAAACCATTAGTAGGCTTTAAAGGAAGACACGGTAAATACTATGCTCACCTCCGCTTGGAGCCCCCCGGCACGACGAACCTCGTGTTCGCAATATGCCTGCAGTTCCTCAGCCTGTTGGATAAAAGGAAAAGCACACAAGTTAGCCCCACACCAGTGTTGGAAAGTAGTCGCCACTTACGTTGTAACCACCTGTGACTAACATGTACGGAGGGCTTTTGTCGCTCACTACTCTGCTCCTCCACAGAGGTCCGACGGACGAGCAGTAGACAACGACGTACTGCAGTTGCATCGTCATCATAAAATGGTAAGCCTCGTCTCTTTTTTTCGCGCTGGCAGCCCCCGGTTCTCTCTTCAGCGTGGTGTCAAACGCGTTGGACTCGTCCACCAGAAAGTAAAGCTGCTCTGATCTCGACAGGATCCAAGATTCTAATACTTTCAAGGTCCACCCCTGGTACGAAAGCTCGGCTGGAAGGTCGTTTATGTAGCTCAGCAAAAGAGCCAGCCACATTGTCCTCAAGGGATTGTCGACGAAATCTTCGCCATTGATAAAGACGACCTTCTTGGAGGTGTTCTTCCAAAGTTTCCGAAGATATCCCGCCACAGTAGCAAGAGCAGTGGTCTTCCCAGACCCCGGAGTTCCAGTAATAACACCTGGAGGTTTGTTGTGCTTATCCGAAGTGCCGTGTCTCAAGCCCGATACGAAACTTTCTATCTCCTTGAAGAGTGAGCGGCCCATGTACATGTATGTTTGACTGCCATCCATTCCAGAGAAAGCGGGAATATGGAGCTCACGAAAAGTCGCATGGCTTGTCCAGTCAATGCCATCGTCAGTAAAATCTGCGGTCAGGTTCTCCTCCAGCTTCTTGGCCCAGGCGATCTTGTCTGAAACAAAAAATTATGGCATTCAGTCCCCTAGACATCATTTTTACCAGGCACGTCAAAATCGGCTGGAGGAAGTCCCGCTGCTGGTGGCGCTGGTGCTGTGAGCGGTACAATATAGTTTATGGAGGAATGGCCACAGAATTAAACACAGCCAAAGGGCAAACAGGGGTGAGAATGACCACCAAGCATGCGCAGAGTACCAGATATCCACACAGAAAGAAAGAAACAGATTCAGGAAGCAAAAATCCTTAACCGTGACCAGACAGGGCAAGCAAAGCAGGACAGTGGAGCAGCTCCGGGATAAAGAGTTGCTGCTGCTCCGGGTGAAAGAGAGGCTGCTGTGGGAGAGGAGAAAGAGCTCCTTCTCGGTTAGTCATCTCTTCCATGTGTGGTTATGGTCAGGGATTTCGCAACACAGATCTGAGGGGTACTCGACAGAGAGGGCTACCAGATTAGCAGCGACGAAATTTGAAAGAAAAGGCATCGGGGAATGACCAAGTAAAACACAAGACAGACATGAAAAGCAAACAAGGGGGCTTTGGAGGAACGCACAAAGGACTTGTGAGCATAACTGAGCAAACTCTAGTGTCAAGCCGAAAAACATACCAGTCATCCCAAAGAGAAGACACCCAACTATTACTAGACAGACAGCATTAAAGTAGCATCCAGAACTGGACAAATGGAATACCAAGAACTGGACAGAAAATGGGGATGCATGTGCAAGGAAACAAAGGGCTTTCCCAATTGCTTACCAGATCCGTGCACTGCAACATTCAGAACAAAACAAAGTTAGTATTAGATCTAGAAGAAAAAACCAGGGTCTCAAATGCCATAGCCATACAAGGACGACCAAGGATGCACAAGGGAGCATGCGTCCACCGGCAGCATAGCCAAAAGCCACCATAGCCACACATAATCCACGACACACAGCAAAACGCCCCAAATAGAAATACACAAAGAATGACTTACCATTACATTGGAGGAGGAGGAGTTCCTTCTTCCGCAGCTGTAATTTTTCCTTCCGCAGCTGTTCTTTTTCCTTCCGCAGCTGCTCTTTCTCATTCCGCAGCTGCTCTTCCTTCTTCTGCCAATATTCCACCAGAGATTTATTGCCACTCTCAAAGGCAGAGAAAAAAGATTCCCCAGCCGCTTGGATCTGCGGCTCAAGAAGCCCGATTTGAGCCTCCACCTTAGCCAATTCCTCGTCCATTTTGCTTGTTGACACCCTATCGTGAAACCTATATATTGGCTAGGGTTAGGGATTCGCACGATCTTCATCCGACGGCCCGGTGATTATAAACACAAGAGACAAAATGTAGCCACAATGTTGTTTGTTTAAGCATTTTACAGTTTCTATAAGTGTGCTCACCCCTCTGGAGGTCGTGAGTAAAGGGTCTTCCTGCCACCAAAGTAGAGAATGTAGCAGCCACCAATGCCATCCTGTCCTACCGTTAGAGTTAGCCACGTGGCTTGAGTCACATTCCTTCAATTTAAGGTTTTTTGTTTTTTTTGAGAGCTGCTTGTTGTTGGAATTCTGTCTTTCTTCAAAGTGTTAGGTGAAGAGGCTAGTTTCTCTTCACATGGTATTAGAGGCATATATTAGAATTTTTGGCATGAGTAGTGCTTTAGACACTAGGTATCATCTTTGTCCTCTGGAGAAATGGAACCATGAATTTCCTTGCTTGTAGAATTCTGGTTTATGAGGTGGGAATTTTGGCCTGTGGTATATGGAATGACAAAATGCCCTAAATTGCAATCATGTTAGACCCTATAGGTAAATGGCCACAAACTAAGTGTAGGTTCTATTATGGGGTTGATAGATGAATTGGCATAAGGAGTTACAAAGGTAGTGGTGTCTTTATCATTAATTATAAGCAACCAAAGAAAATAACTTAAGAAACAATTTATAAATTTTAAATATAAAAGGAAAATACCCATTACACCCTTTATTTCAATCAATTAAAGGTTTTACTATACTTAGGGTTATACATCCTTAATAGTATTAGGTTGGGTGACCTTCCGGGAAGCGAAAGCTTTGCTCTTTTGACGTTTTACCCCTCAAATTGAGCACAATTAAAGTAAATTAAATTTGCAAGATGTTAATCAATATATAGTGTAATTCCCTTAACTAACCAATAGAGTCAGAAAACCTTTCTGATACTAAATGTAAATTTCTAAGTTGAGTTGTGGCTCTTAGCTTCCCTTTACAAGGCCATGAACTTGCATAGAAGCATAATAAATTGTAAGCAACAAAAAAACGATTTAAGAGACAATTTATGGGGAAAAAGCCCATAAATAAGAGTGCACCACTTTTTTTAATCGGTTAAAGGTTTTGGGATACTTGGGGTTAAGCGTCCTTGGGTTTGAAAGTTAGATGAATTCCTATTGTAACACATCTTATCTCTCTCCCTTTATGCTAACTGGAAAAGGATCCACGATGACAGTATATTTAAATCTCATTTCATACGTTTATGGCAATTGTAGCTCCAGGTAAGGGTCTACGTTTCTTTCCTTCCCTCACAGAAGTTTATTCAGAAGCACCGACCATTAAACAGCCGCAGCCGGTGACGGAAAACGAAGAAAACCTTCTTGTTTCTGGTGAGTACACCTTACTTTCTTCGTATTTCTGTTTTTTAATTTTATTATCAGAAATGGCGACAATTGTTCTAGACAAGCAAACTTTTGAATACTGGAAGCAGATGAAGGAGATCGTTCTGGCCTGTCCTGAAAGATCTGAAGATAATAGCTTCTCTTTTCAGCATTTCGATCTTGACCACATTTTTTGCAGAGAGCGTGCCCAATCTTTCGCCATCTTTATGGAAATCCGCGACATCTCTTGTGCTCGAAGGTGTGACTGTCCTATCTTCTTTCGTTTACTTCCCCTTCGGTAACACTAAGGCTGTTTTTACACAGCCAAAGTTGTCCAGTCCCAGGAGGCAGCACCTCATGAGGAAGCGCCCCAGGAGGAAGCGCCAGACGTGATAGCTCAGCTTTCTCAAAGGATCAAGGACACTGAGGAGAAGCTAAACAGGCTCGCCTCTGAGAACCAGCGACTCAAGTATCTCTTGTCGGACGAGCTGCTGATTCGTGTTCTGCACGAATTTGTCAGGAACAAGGTTCGTAGCTTGCTCGTGCAAAACTTTCTAGACTTCCAAGCCCAGTACCTTGGGAAACTGTGGAACCTCACGGAGTCGAGCATCTGGAAAGTTCCGAGCTACAAACACTTTCTGGAAGGCTCGGGGGTTGTCGCCGAATGTCCTGGCTCTGACTCGCTATGGGCCGAATACTGATCAAGAGAGCGGGAATTTTGCAGCACACTCTGCTTCGGCTTTGAAACTGGCACTTGTGGTGCAGAAGCGATCGGTTCCTTACCAGCAGTTGTTCAGTTTCGTATTTGATGCCTCTCCTGGTAAGTTTGTTTACGTCTCCTTTTCAATATGTTTACGGGTAATATTTCTTCCAGAGGATGTCATCAGGAACGAAGATCCTGCACTTTTACTGGTCTGAACTGCGCGTGCAGTTACCAGAGTTTTGTTTCTATGAGTTTTGTACATTTGCTGACGTCGATACGAATATCAGAATCGCATCATTTGTAGCATTTCACGATGCTGCAGTGAAAAGTTACAACTGGAGTCTAGGCTTACAACAGGGGTCATTGGCTTGGACTTGTGATTGAAACCAGGACTGAAATCTAGACTGGAAATGCTTGCTTTCATCCGCATGATGCCCACTTTGCGTATATGCTACAATTTAATCCTAACATCATATTCTAGCTTGGGCCACATAGAACTCGCTAAAGCTTTGTTTCTTGCAATCCAGAAGGGAATCTGGTATCTTGGATCGCACTACTGCCTGCGACACTATGCTACACTCTGGCATGTAATAGAACGAGAGTTTGGGGTACTCTAGATGCTGTACTTTCACGACAGAGTATCACGTATTTCAAATCTTTCTGAGGAGCTTGCAAACAACAGTTGGAGCCTTGCAATGTTTTGCCCGTAAGCAGCATTCAAGCAAACTAAATTGTGGTGTTTCATATAACTTCTGCAAGTATATTCCATGAGATTAAAATGGAAAGTTAAAAGTTTATGGTTAAACTTTACTAAATTACAGCAAGTAATAAAAATTTAAATTTTAAATAAGCAAATGTTTATATATTCTGTGGGAATTGTATTCGAGTATACCGAAGTTATAACAATGTCCTACAGGTCAATTGCAAAATGCAAACGTGAAGCCACTGCCACAACATACACGACTTCTTTGGCATTGTCCAACTACTACTCTACAAGGATGCCTCTCGTCGTTTACATGGCCAAGCCCAAGCTGCCCGTGTTCGCCCCATCCCCACGTATACAGGTCACCAGCAGCTGAAAACATTAGACCTTTAGCATCAACAAAAAGATCAAAGCTCTCCACAAACCATCAACAGCGGCAGAGTGCTCGGATCCAGCAGATATGGAAACTACTCTGTGTTTTTCCAACCCTTGTACTCTATAAAACTTGATGTTCGACCTTTCGCTTATGCTGCAACATTTGTCACTGATTATATTCTTGTTTTGAAACGAACCAAGAAATAAAGGAAAAACGAACCATCTAGAGGATCCGAGTTGACCATGCCGATTAGTCCCCCAAGAAATAGCTTCCCCGTCCTCTGCAGGACACTGCTTACAAAAACGGGTTAAAATGGTACCAGAGTGTGGTACCTGTAAGACCAAGGCCATGGTTCCAGCCGAGAGAAACTCGGTGGAACTTAAGCTCTTCACTTGCGAGGAACGGTACGTAAGCACCCGATTGATCATCAAATGCTTTTCCCCAGAGATAAAGCTGGCCACTGCCTGCCAAAAGATGGAAAATACTTCCTGGAGAAACAAATTTTCTTTGAGGACTCACCACTCAAAGCTGCACTGTGGTCTCCATTTGCTGCCACAATCGAAACACCGTAGGAGTCGAGCGATGGAATTGCTTGGGGAGAAGCCACTTTGTTAAGCTCTTTGGACGAAAGGCTGCCGAGCTGACCACGCTTGGCTAGTCCAAAAGCTTTGACAACTCGACCATCACCTTCTCCTGCATCCCTCATTGTTAGAAGATAAAAGAGAAAGAAACAGATACATAGATTCACTCACGACTTGGATGCAAAGCACGCAACCAAGCAAGAAGAAAATTTTTACCGGAGAGAACCAGTGTGTGGCGCATTCCACAGGCAACTTTGAAAGCATTGGAAAGAGCCAGAACTTTACAGGGAGTTCCTCGACTTACAAAGTCTCCATGGCCGAGTTGTCCAAAAGCTCCATCTCCACAGGTGAAAAGCTCCCCGGATTCTTGGAGGGAAAAGAAAAGAAGAAGAAAAGTCACAAAGAAAGAAGAAGAGAATTGATCTATCGTACCAGTGACAAATGCGGTGTGGTTCCATCCAGCAGCTACTTCACAAACTCTGTGACCTCCAAAAAATTCTACTACACTTGGAACAGCAACAACAGCGGCAGCATCCTTCTCGGAATCGCCCTCGTGACCAATCAATCCTCGCCCCCACGTCGCCACACGTCCTCCATCTCCATACAAGAGAGATCAATCCAGAGTCAAACAAAATCTCGCGAACACCATACCCAAAATCGCTGCGGCATGGGCGCCTCCACAAGCCATGTCC